CGTTTATTTCACAAAATAATCACACAGTATATTCTTGCCTTCAAGAAAAAACGAAGCAAAAAACGTACCATCTACTTGTATATGTATGTACTTATATGATACATAAATAAAATCATTAGCCGATAAAACAGGAAAACGCAAACTGGGAAGAAATTTATGACTCACCTCAACAAATGTTACTCGTACAACACAAAAGTTATCACGATTCCATGTGCAAAATTCGGAAAGAAACAACGGCCAAATCTGTCGAAATTATCGCAGAGATCCAGGAAAAAGGAAGACCCAGGTGTTACGACTCGAACTCTCGATCTTTGAAATTGTGCAGTACATAGGTAAAGTAGATGAATATATACATACATCGTGCTGGCCACCTGTGCGCGCCTTTACCAACATCGCCACCGCAAAGCCATCCCCTCTCTTAGGTTTCAATATTCATAGATTCCACTTCAAATAGTTTGCAGGATTTTCTCATTACTCGACCATCCTACATATGACATTCTCGTCTAATGTCTCTTCCTTCTTTTTGTCTACGTCATTTTCAGGACACGTCATCTCTCGTCTATCTCGTGCAAAACATTAAGCGACATTTCATTACACCGTGTTGAGTAATGCAACGATGATCCTTTCTTCATCTGACTCTCACTTCTTTTCTCGTCGCGTCTGTGCGCACTTCGCAGTGCCTTCGTGCAAATTTGCTTCCTGTGTGGACCGGTAGATGGGCCTCCATCCCGCGTAAACCCCTAATTGTAGGGATCGAAGAAAAAGGGAATCCCCGGAGATAAAAATCGAAATTCGTGAACTTCGAAGTCATGCATCGTGTTGGTCAGAAGTGCGTCTTTACCAGTGTTACCACCGTAACTTTCCTGGGTCTTAATATTCCTAAATTCCACTTGAAATGTGTCGAAGAATTTTTCTATTCCATATTATGAAGTGCACGAAAATTGTAATATGTTTGTATTACTACAGACTGATACGCATTTGCATTTTAATATTAATTCAATTTCAAATCTTTATATCATCCATTTGTATAATATAAGTACCAATTTTTACATTTACCAAATTGTAGAACTAAAATAAAAATAAATTCTTCCATTGATTTTATATTCTTTATCTCTTTACTCTCTTTATTTTCATCAATCTCTTTCTGGCTGTTTTACAGTATTAACCAAACTAATACCTTCTGCATTGGAAAATTAAAGTGTGCACCGAATACTACCAACTTGTAAAACTAAAATAAGACTAAATTGCTCTGTTGACTTTATATTCTTTTACTCTTTTATTTTATATATTTGTACTTTTTATTTACCCGAATTCGTGTATCTCAATTTTCTTCCCCCCTTTTTTTTTTGCAACATTAATCAAACTAATGCCTTCTGCTTAGAAAAACTAACGTGTACATCGAATATATTTCTGTTCCCCCATTGAAGTATAGCTAGAGCGTGAAGGAATAAAAGTCTGTACATCTGTGCTTTAATCTTCGTTATGTTTGTCCTGTAAATCCGTGGAGATACCTTTCCCCGTGAAAGGTCAGGGCAAGATGAATGTGTTAGCAGGTAGGTCAGAATAGTCATTACACTTCTAAGCGGTAAAAGGGACGAAGGAAACTCGAGTTTAATGTTGGTACACGTCATCGACAAAAATTTTCTTAATTGAGTTCGATCTAGGTGTTATTTGACGTTACTTCTTATTGTGAAATTCACTTTTGACGGAAAATTTCATTGACAAAATTTATCATTGTACGATATAAATTATATTTTACTACTTTGAACATTCAAAATGAAAATGACTTTATCACTGATATCTATTAAAGACACGAGGCAATGGTATTCAAAATTTGTATCCTGTTTTGTTAATCAAAAGTCCTTGTTTTCATTTTCATAAATTATACTTTTTTTTTTGATTGT